AGGACAACAAACTAAACGCAAAAAGCAGTAAACAAAAAGTTTTAAGTCTAGATTTTAAAGTGCATAGCTCCCAATGGCTTCCGAATACCATGTGATGATGATGTTCACTATCATCCACCGTCATCATTGCCATGCGAGGTGGCAACGATCTAGCAACGTTGATGCAGGGTGGGTAAGTCATGCAGTGCTGTAATTACGATGTGTTCTCACACCCAGCCTCGGTGTACCAAAGCGGTGTCGTGACAGCAGCACAGCAAGCAGGCTTCAGGAAAGCTACGGTCTTGAATTCTGCCGACATCATCGTGTTCCTGAGGCAGCAAGGGTGGCCGCCGACAGTCTTTGAGTTGTCTGGGATCGTGTCCCGTGGTCTAGCTCCTTCAGCCACGGGACACTTTCAGGCCAGGCTTGATCCCGTCCCGCTCTAAATACAGATAGTCCCCGAGTTACGATGGTCCAACTTACGATATTTCGATCTCACGATGGCGATAGCGATACGACAAAATTGTCAAATATTTAAAATTTCGCGCGGCAGTCAAACGCAGCAGCGTACAAGGTACGATGCTGTACGTTGGGACGCTGCCGGGATGTACTGTACGCATCTCCCGCCTTGTGTGCAGATAGGATGTTTCCTGAAAAAAACTTTCTATTAAATTGCAGTTCATATAGGTAGGTTCAGAATTTACCTCGGTTTTGTTACTTTACATTTTACTGTGCAATACAGTATTGTAATTAATACATACATACAGTATATAGTTTATACAGTACGGTACTGTAAATTGCTACATTTTGCTAAATTCCCACCATTCCTTAAGACTCCTGGGTAGGCTAGGCCATCTTCGACTTACGATATTTTTGACTTACGATGGGGTCGTCGTAACGCATTTCCATCATAAGTAGAGGACTACCTGTACACGTACGGTCTGTCTTAATCTGGTGAGTCTGTTCAGTTCACAGTTACCTGTAAGGATCACAAATACGCCCTTGGGGTCTGACTCTTCGGTGCAGCCAATGAACGCTAGCTAATAATCTTAAATAAGCCTCAGTTTGGCTGCTTGAGTCTTGATATTCCGTTAATCGATAATGCTTCTAACCACACATTCATTGGCCCGAGCATTCCCATTGAATCTAAGTAGACAAATATGTACATACATTTGGCTATGTGAGTAGTAAGTATTTTATTGAGTCCTGTCCTCAATATTATAATTAATTGGCATAATAAATATATAATTACATAATGAAGCACATTATTGTAATTTTTTGTATTTTATTAATCCTTTCAGTACTCCTTTCAATATGTAGTCTTCATAAGCAGAGTTTGTTCCTGTCTTTGATATTCATCATAAAAGTTAAGTACTTTATACATCATAAAAATTGACTACTCTATACATAAAAAAACCACTGGCCATATAAATGTCTTTACAGCACTTTGTATTCATTGATGAATGGGATGTGCCTGTGGGTGACTTCATTAATTATTCACGGTTTACACACGTGGTGTTACTCATATCAATGAGCTTGGAGGTTGATTCTTTGGGCTGTTTATCATCTACTTGTGCACACTCGATGTCACTGTCTCACACCAGACTTGCTCAACATTTGGTTTAGTAGTAATAGGTTTTTACCCTTTTATCTGGCACCAAAACTGACACCTTTATACAAGGGATCATGTTTGCAATAACCACAACACTTGCAGTCGAAATGCAAACAAAAAGACTAGGCTCTAAGAAAGCCGTTTCGGGTGTGGACCAATCAATTTCAAGGACAGTGCATATCATTATTAGAGTTGTCTATTTTTGTTTGAATTTCGACTGCAAGTGTTGTGGTTATTGCAAACACGATCCCTTGTATAAAGGTGTCCGTTTTGGTGCCAGATAAAGGGTAAAAACCTATTACTCTATCTTGCTACTGGCAAAGGAGGTCTCATAATGTAAGCAACATTTGGTTATTTTCTAATATGCTTGTTTACCCAGGACAGCCTGAAACTCACGACTCTGCCAAGTTTAATTTTCAAATTGCATGTGAAACCAATCTCCTCACATGCTTACACATTGACCTTAGACATCAATTTTATACCTTTTAAAATTAAATCTGAAAACTATGTATGAATGTTGAACTTTTTCGATGTCTTTCCGACAGACTTGTTCGCCTGAGGACGGCTGCTTGCGTTGTGGCCGAAACGTCGTGAGAATTGTATTTATAATGTTTTATTTCATTATTTTATTATTTCCCTTCTACGTGACTTTACCGAAAGAACCAAGAAGATATGTTGAACTTCTTTCGCCCCGTACGTAGCCAACCCTGCTAATCTGAGCTGCGGAACCAGGAGTGTGGTAACTCGGGTTGTTTGTGTGTGTGACATTGTGCGTGTGCGTGAACCAGGCGACAGGTTCCCAGGCTGTGGAGAGTGAGGCCGAGGCGATGGGGGAGACTCCGTGTATTTGTTGGGGCAGGGCCCAGAGGCGTTGCTCTGCCAGTCAGTTGTGCACGTTGCTGAGCACCTGGAGCCCACTGGGGCACTCTACCTGTTGGCCAGCAGAAGCCGCCAGTTGCTCAGGCGAGTGCGCAAGCTATGCTTATTACTGTGTGAAAGTTCACGGTTATGGACGTATGTACGTTTAACTTTTTTCGCACCATATGTGCTAATTGGCGGTGAGGTGCAAAGTGCTTAAAGCGTATTAGTCCATAAACTTTGTTTTGGCATGGGGGTCACCTGGTGACTGATAAAAAAATATCCTGAGGATTATCAAGCATCATTCTCAGTGGCAATAGGGTGAAAGGCTTCGAGAAGGGGTCGTGGTTTTCTACTTGACCGATGTGATAATGGTTTTTCTATAATTCAGTGTCGATAACGCTAATAAAGTATTGTCAAACTGCAATTATATACCACTGACAATTGTATACAGATTTTGTATGCAACACACACATATCATAGTAAATGGTAAATAATGCATGTGGAATAATATTTGACAGTGTAAGATTCCAGCCAGGGTCATTCGTACAATGTATTATGCCACGTGTAAACATTAAGTGCAATTTCATAACTTTGGAAGCATTGCCTCATGCGCGGCATTCTGGTATGATTACGTGAATGTACATCGTATGTGGGTTCTCACCAGGTGAAATAGTCTTGGAATGAACAGGTGCTCGAATTATTTTGATAAGACTATTAGGCAAATTTAAGTTATATGTGGTACATTGATTTACTTGAACTTTGGCCACGAAAGGCATAAACCCTTCGACATGAATTACGTAAGCTTTTAATTATTTTTGCAGACTACTGACCGAAGCTTAGATGGCTAGTGTGGCAAATGTGCGCTGGCTGTGATGAGGTGTTCTCATAACGGCGCCTTCCACAAGAGTTGAACCACTCACAAGGGGCTCTTCGTCTTTGTGATTGGTGTAGGTTGGAGGAAGCGGTAGAACGATATGAAGAGTTATTGGCCCTGCTGTCAGATTCTGCTGCTGTGCAGGTATAAGTATCTTAATTTTCTCTTGTTTACTTAGACGTCCAATGCAACATGTTGAATTTGTATTCTTGATTCTTTCGGTAAAGTCACGTAGAAGGGAAATAATAAAATAATATAAATATAAAACATACAAATTATATTGTTTTATATTCATATTATTTTATTATTTCCCTTCTACGTGACTTTACCGAAAGAACCAAGAATATGAATCCCTACAGTCACGAAAGCTTTAAATCAAAATGTTGAATTTGATTTTTAACCATCGGCTATTTTCCTCAATTTAAAATGACCCTTTCAACTGTATCGCTGAGACTGCACAACATGTTTCTTCCCTCTACGATGTTTCTTAACATGACCAGTGTTTAAATTGTCAACCCTTTTAGGTAGAAGATGTAGGCCTGACCGTTCCTAGGATCCCTGCATTGTACCTTGAACTAGCCTCTACCTTTCTGCATCTGAGGAAACACGACAGAGTTATTGCAATTTGTGATGATGTAATCAGCAAAACCAGCTGCACCATCCCACAAAAGCTGGTTCTGGATATGAGGGGAGACTCCGCAGAAATGGGGCTCCATGTTGCCCATTTGAACCCTTCCCGGGAGGCAGAAGACCCCGTCCTTTCAGCTTTTTTCAGAGATTCACCCGGAGGTGAACATTCAAGCTACCCACAAACAGTCACTTGGGACATCGGCACCAGTCGTGCAGATTTGAAGCAGGTGAGAACTTGGAATATGTTTGACTTGTGCTTATAGAACGACCAAAGCTTAGATGATGGATGCATTCAAAACAACGATGCCCCCTAATAACTATATAAGCATGCAAATATTGCAATTATTTCTAGCACAGAAACTGATATCATTTTTTTTTATGTTATATAATAAAAATTTGCTGGCTGGATTCCGGCCTGGCTGGCCGGCACGTGGTTAGGTTGCCCGTGCGTGGCGGTAGTGATGTCACCGTGTATATTTGCGTGATCATGTGACCCACACCCCACAGCGTTGAGCCAGGTTCGTCCGTCGCGCTTACATCACGCCCCCCCCTTGACCCTGCACCATGGCCATTTGTGGGGGATACTGTCGAACGATCATATCAATACTGTATTAGGCAAAGTTTTGCTCGCTGGCTGGCTGCCTGGAGGGAGGGATGGATGGAAACGTTCAAAGGACTGCGGGTTGCTATTCTTGTAAAAAAGAAACTTTAAAGTTATACTCAAAGTTTAAAAAAGTTAAATAACGCGAAGACAAAACAACCATTGTAACAACCCCAACAAAACTTGCAGAGAATCCCAATAGCAATTTAGCGACGACGTATTATTTCTTTAATTTCAGGATTTGGGCGCACGCGTCGCGTGGGCAGTTGTCTGGACGTTGGGCCGAGTTTGGCTGGCTCTGGGCCACGAGCGCAGCGTTGCCCGCGGGAGGAGGCGCCCGCTTCAGCACGGGGAGCCGCCGCGTGCGAGAGTCTGCACGCCGCCCGTGGGACGGTGTCTGCGCGGGTTGCTGCGCCCGCTGCGCTGCTCGAGCTCGGCAAGGCGGACGAGGCCCTCCGGGAACTCGACAGGTGTTGTGTGCCGCGTGTGGCGCGACTTGCTTGCTTTAATTTTTTTAAATCGCGTCGTCGTCGAGAGGTTACTGACAGAAGATCGGCAACTGTCGGCGACTGTCGTGAAGGCAACGCCGCCGTTACTAAGCAATATAGACCGTCTCTTTCCATATACGTACCTAGATTAACACGCTTGCTGCCGTATATTTGTTTGCGTCCTTGTTTCTTCTTCTTGTGTTCCACAGCCTAAGGAGACGTAATGCGTTTTGTTAATTTCCAGAGGGAAACTACAGACATGAGCGGATGGGATATCGCGCGGTTCGTTTCTATAAGCCAATTAGGCTGCCAGTAAGCTTACAAGCAGAGTTGAAAGGTGGGAGCAGCGAAGCAAATGTGCAGAGATCAGTCGTGATGATGCCTGATGTTGAATTCTGTTAATGGATTGTCTTTCATTCCCCGTGTTGTTGCTGGTTGCCTCGCTAGCCTGTGGGTCTTTGTGCGTTCATATCCTCCGTCTCTTCACATGCATGCTTGTGCGTTCTCAGGTCGACCGATGAGCTCTTCAAAGTTATCGTCATTCCTAGCAACAAAGGTACGCTTCATATTGGCAGTGGCTATTCAGTAACAGGGTTCCAGTACTTTGCGTAGTACGTGCATCTAGCCAGGCTAATACAGCCCAAAGTTAAGCTCGCTGCATTGACTCGATGGATTGGCGGTGTGTGGCTTTCCCGCCGCGAGCATGCAGAGGCCGTGCTCTGTCTGGCAGCTAATGGATCAAGAGTACATGTAGATAGAGCTCCACCAGCTGCGAGTGGTCACCGACATGTGAATGGTATTCTAGATTTGAAGTTTTTGTGATTGCAAGGATTCATACTCTTTGTTTTTGGTAAAGTCACGTAGTAAAATAATAATTTTTTTTATTTGTTTTTCTTTTTTTACCTACGTGACTTTACCGAAAAACCAAAGAGTATGTGAATGGTACCCTCCGAAAATGACGTTGGACTGCCCTGTAGTTGCCTCCTTTTAACACGTTTTTTTTGCAATAGCTATCGGAGTGCTGTGTTTGTCTTTGGTCGCACGATCGGGGTGTTATTAAAAGGTATAATGTGATACGAAATTGTTACAACGAATCACTTGCGGACTCGGGAGAAAGTTTTGCGATATCAGTGGTTTCACTATAACAGGTTTAATTACAATATGAACTGGGGCCTTTGGAAAACATTAATGCATCGCTGAGTATAGCAAGTGTGCATTTGTACAGGTCTGGGGTCATGCACAGGTACATGTTTACAGTATTCAATGTACTGTACAATGTAGTGTCTAGTGAATACTGTAATAAAAACGATGATTGATGTTTGACAGCCCGTACGATAGTTAAACTCGTGGCCGCTGATGAAACGCGATCGCTGTGTGAGGTATAAATCAACGCGAGCAACGCGTTTCCTGCTGCAGCTACGTCGTTGTAAACAGGGATCGTGATGAGCGTGGGTCATAATAACGAGATAGACCAGTTAGTTACATCCTACGGTGGCGAGATGTTAAATACCTCGCCTGGTATACAGGAGGTCGTGGGTTCGATCCTAACCCTGACGCCTGTTGTATATTTGGAGTTTGCATTTTCTCCCCATGGTCGCTATGATTTTTTCTCCAGATCCTCCGGTTTTTCCTTCATATTTATAATAATCGTTTAGAGCGTTGGATGCTATAAATTTCCACATGGCAAGCCATTTTGTTGAGGTATCAGTTGTGGCCAGGTCGCTTCTGAAAAAGAGCTGTGTAGTCTAATATAAAAAATAGTTTATTTTTTTTTATTTAATACTGCACACCAAATCCATTTACAAAGAAGGAACTGCTACGTTGAAATGTATTCCCGTTTAAATCTGTATCTTAGTCGGCTCTCCAACTACAAAGTGTTGTGACATCAGACTGCGAACGAAACAGGAACACATTTCCAGACGTCGGCTTGCATAGCTGATTCTTGTGTGCGGTAACGGCCTTAGATGTCACTGTTGCTTACGTATCGCATTTCGTGCAGATTGCTCCGTTCAGCGGGAGTTGCCACTCGAACAGCTGGCACTGAATCTGCTCAAGAGCCTGGTGTTTGATGGCATCGCTGGATGCTTGGAGACCCTGGGCAGGACAAAGATGCGTTGTACTACTGCAGCCTGCAGGCGAATCCTGGTGGGCCCCAACACCATTTACTCTTCCTTCTGATGTTAGACGCCACTGAAGCAATGCACTGTCAAATCTAGATAAAAAACTCATTTCGGTTAAACTGCATTTTGCGTTTAGTTTGTTGTCCTTCCCCTGCACCTCCGATTAGCACGGTTAGTTATGTACGGTGTAAAAGAATTCAACAGACATACGTACAAATACTAACCATTTCTCCCCCTCCTAGGTCTATATTTTTAACATCTACATACTCATGGCTTGTGGTTAAGTTAATATTTTGCGGTGTACTTTGTTCCAATACAGTTTTTTTTTCTCAGTCATCATAATGTAAATGTTAGGTCATTCCCACAATGCCATATCTCAGATATGTTCTCTACAAGTCTATGTGACTTTACCGAAAGAACCAAGAATACTGATGAATCCTGTTTGCTAAATTGCATTCCCACCAATCTCTCTCTAATTGTGATGGGTATGCCCATCGCTGGTCAGAGGAAATCTACTCCTGCACGTAGTTATCAAACGGTGTCACACACATCTGTACTTTATCCACCAAAGTTGTTTGATTGCAGCCTCAGTGTAAAAACGCTTTAATCCAGAATTGGATTGACTGTCTGGTGATATAAAAAATAAGGCATAATTTAAAAACAATTCTTACCTGACCACCACATCTGAAGACCTCTATATGCCCTTGCAATGCCACATTTGGCACATATTGTATGTATGCACTGTCTGCGTGTGCGCGTGCGAACCGTCTGTGGGAGCGGTAGTGTAGAGGTTTGCGCGCTGCGCTACGAACCCGCGCGGCCCGAATTTGATTCCCGCTCACGGCCAGCACCAGTAACGATTATCTGAACTGGTTCTGGGCCTCCCCTAGATTGACTCGGCGTCAAATGAGGAAGTGGTGCGGTGTGTAACAGCACTCGCCCCAACAGTGTTAAGGCTATACGGGGAATTTTTGTCCTTATAGTGGTTAGCAGGATGTGCTACGAACCCAGCGACCCGAATTCGATTCCTGCTCATGTCCAACACCAGTGACGATTATCTGAACCGGTCATGGGCCTCCTCTAAGTCGACTCAGCCTCAAATGAGTACCTGTGTATGTGCTAAACATTGCTACTGGAGAGACAAAGTCGGTCAAGTGTGGTGCCAGCCACCCACCCACCCCCTCGTGTGCCATGCCGGACTTCATAGGTGCTCTCTAAAAGCACTTGCCCCAACAGTCTGTTAAGGCTATGTGGAGGATCTTTGTCTTTGTCTGTGTTGCAGGTGGGATGCACAGCATGTACGGCCTGGTGCGGCTACTCAACAAGCGGAACAGGAAGGGGGAAGCAGTCGCACACTGGCTGAGCTTTAGGGGCCTCTTGGACGGTGACATCAGGCAGATGAATTCCAAGGGACAAAGTCTCACGGCGATTCCTGACCTGTAAGCCAATTGTTTTATTTCTTCATGAGAATTTTATAACTCGAATTACTTATAATTTTGAACTTGTTGCAGTATTACTCCTTGCACGCATTCGCACATGAAGCCCTCTTGAAATGTATCACGATGTTCTACTCGGGCGACTTAGCCACAGGGATTCACATGCGTTGACTTTGCATGCAATTATGAATAATATTAATAGTGCATAATACAGTTTTTTTGGGGTTAGATCGCTTAAATATATAAATGTGTCGTTAAACTCACCACCACCCTACACAGCCAATTAGTAAGGTTGTCACGTAAACAGAACGTGCCAATTCGTTACTAGTACAGCACACCGGTGTGTTGGAGAGCAAAGCCACAACATTTACAAACTGAGTACGCCGCTTCGCCAGTAATTACAACTAGCTTCATCAGGCGACAGCCACATATCTTACTAATTGGCTGTGTCGGGTGGTGGCGGGTTTAACGACACATTATATTTACGCGATCTAACCCTAAAAACCTGTGTTATGGATGATATATTGGTTGCGAAAGCCTAAGCAATAATACGTTCATTGAACAAAATACTACGATTACTTTAGAAGCAGCTGATTGCACCTCTGAACAGGTCGCTTCAAATCCTTGTGCCTAACAAATGAGAGCGGTATTGAATGATTCTGGCAGTGGGCCATACAACTACGTGCCAGAGCAAGTGAAGGTGCCGAGTGAGGGAGAGCTGCTGGAGATGGACCGGGACTCCTTGCTGCACTGGGACGGCTACAGCTCGGAGGAGCGGAGAGTCCCCGCACGTTGGCTACTGGATTGTTGCCCGTTGTCCAACTAAATGCAAGTTATTCTCTACTTCCTGCTGCGAGATAAGGGCATGGGAGCCCTTGAGCAGTGGGTCACGTGAGGTTTGTGTTAATATATACGATTGAATGAGAACGTAATTCTGGTATTACTGGACTGGCTGAACCGCGCTGATAAATAGTAAAACAGCACGTAAGGGTCCGTACAGTTTAATGCCGCGTTCTTTAACATGATAAAAGCTCATTGACATTCGTTACAAGCAACACCTAGATATCTGTTCTTGCGATAACAAGTTGGGGCACATCAGCATTTGACTTCACAAGTGAAAACATTTCAACTACAGCAGGGCGATTGAAGTCGTCATCTGTCTGAAATTGCACACCATTCCGATAGGGTTATGTAAACTCCACCCCAGTGGGCAGGGAGGGGCAACGGAGGGTAGTGAACAACCCAACTGAAACACGAGCTTGTGCCAGGTACTGCTTTGCAGGTAGGTATGGGAGTTAGCAATTTAATGTTTTTAGATGATTTTGCTGCTATAAATGTCCACATGATAAGCCACTTTGTTGAGCTATCATTTGTGGCCTGGTTGCTTCTGAAAAAGAAATTAATAGTTCAGTGGGCTTTACCTGGTAAGGTAAAAAGATTGTTTACTTTTATATTTTTAAGCGGTGTTTTACCTTTCCTATACTCTGCACCCCTTTTGTGTTTTTTGTATCTTTGTGTTGTAACGTTCTAACTCGCCCCTACTGGACATCTGTGAAAAGAGCTTTATAGCGCATCGCATTCCTCCTGCAGTATAAATAATATTCTGATTCTGATAACATGTGTCCATGTGTCTATGCTCACGTGTCGAAGCTCCTTGTCTTCACCCACCCGCCGTGACCAGCGTGGTGATGTTGAGTTAACCCAGATAACCTGCACCAGTGAATTCACAATTTACTAAAGGGCTGTCTGTATGTGTATATGCTGTGAGTGACTGCATATGTTGTTGGTGACTGCTTGTGGGTGTATGTCCATGCACCTAGCCTGGCACGAGCGCCGTGGTAACGCCACCACCACCACTTGGTGGTTGTTGTATGTGTGAACTGGGTGTCATTGTGGTTGTCTGTGGTTGTGTATGGCGACTCTTTGCTATTTCTCCAAAAAACACCACATCATGGTCGCTAAAGAATTCTATCTGGTCAGTTCCCCTTGCAGCAAGGAGGATTACTTTAAATATGCTCTTAGCAGGCGTAGTATGCTTCAAGTTTCTTCAATGTTTTATTTTCCCTAGTGACAGTTTAATAGCGGAATGTTGCACTAGGAAACCATTTATAATAAGCAGCTGCTGGGAATTTCCAAAGGAAACATAATTTGGTAATTAAAAATATGACTGTAGCATGTGAGATGATTTAAAAACTGGGTTTGAACACATTTAATGGCTAAAGGTGCAAATATGTATTGTAATAATTATTTTAGAGGTTTTTTTTCCCCTGAGGAAAGCCTCATTGAGTCTCCATGACTTTTTCAGGAGGGGCCCTCCCAAATTTTAGTTTGCAGTTGGGGGGTGGGGGGGCGATGATTGCTTTGTATATTCCAACTTATTTCTGGGTCATTTTTTTAATTCGGCAAATGTTCACCTTGACGCCGGCACACAAAGACCTAACCCTTGCGAATGACGTCACGGGATCTTTTTTTACGGTTAATACACCCGCCACATTAATAACCGGGGAGGCCTCTGGATTCGAACCGTGAACCTCTGCAAACAAGCGGCGTACGCGCTACCGCTGTGGCCACGTTGCCGCCCGACCATGAGCATGACAACTGCGGGGAATGGAGATTCGGAGTTTACGTTAAAAACAAGAATCGGAGATAGTCGTTCGGTAAACGGCAGAGCGAAAGTGCAAACGGGAATGATCTCACTGGGAATCACAACGGGATGTCCGAGTGTCCCTGGCAGGATATCCAAGGTGACTCGGTGCAGAGGGAAGGGCTTGCCGTATCTGTTGGCGAATGGCCCTTTCAGAGCGTGCTGGTGGTATGGGGGGACAGTAAGGGGAAACTGTTCTTGCTGGTATGTGTGCGGGGAAATGGGGAATGTTTGGGTATGTGAATGGGGGGGAGGGTTAGGAGTTTGGGGAGGAGGGAAGGAGGCTTGGGAGGTTGGAGGACAATTGCCGGGCAAGGCGCAGGAAGGTCCCCTGTGTATTTCCTGGTCCGCGTAATTTGTTTTTGTGATGCAGTGAAACGTTTTGTGTAAACTTGGTATCCTGTCCGAGGTCTCTTGTTGAGTCTGGCTTCAGTTAAACACATGAGCAAACATGAGACTCATGGTTTAATACTCTTTGGTTCTTTGGGTAAAGTCACGTCGGTATAAAATAAAAGAAATCACGACGTTTCGGGCGCAACACAAGCGTCCATCATCAGATGGAAAGCGTGATCTGCTGCTGGGGCAGACTGTTTTTAAAGGTTTGAAATGGGTGTAGCTCAATGGTCCTAAAGAAGTGGCCCGGGCTGGTGATGTTAATGTGAGAAATGTTTCAATGTAAAGTAGCGGTGTCCTCCACTTTTTATAACGAAGTTTTCCCTTGCAGGAGTGTATTCCTGCCCGCTTGCACACCGCCCACTTCTGGAATGTGGGTCACGTCATGAGCAATGGTTTTCACTTGATGAATTGCAACATTCTTCAACTTGCCACTTCGCCCTTCACACAGCCGAGTGTATGGATATTTACGTGGCAGAGCATTCTGGCACGAGCGTTCCACGTGAAAAA